AGTTCATTTTTTTTTCGTTTTGTTTTCTTGCTTAGAGAAAGGTCTCAAGTAAGTGTTGTCAACCCAAACAGAGTGTATCCGGGGGTCTAACATGGTTACTAAATGTTAAAAGTTCACCCTCCTTAATGGTACAGCTTTCAATGGCCTGTTGGAGATGGCTGAGATACATGCGAACAAGTAAATAATCGGATTCTGTAATTCTAGGGACTCATCCTGTTCCTTTTCAGAAGCGTGCCGAGGCCTGTATCCCTCAGCACTGAGGAGTAAACTGAGGCAATTCGCATACACATACACCTGTATCCTCTCTCGCAGAACAGGAGGACCCTGCATGACTGGCCAGGTGTCTGCTGCTGAGCCCAGGGTACGAATGCAAAGCAGACTCTGCAGTAACGTTCCTGGCCATCTGGCTTGCTTTGCAGGTGAGGCTAGGGTAAGGTGACCGAAGGCACCAGCGGGAATGCAGGAAAGGGGTGGTGGCGGGTCTCAGGGCTATGGGAGAATGACCTACCTAGGCCGGCTGGCAGCCCTGCAAGGTGGGGGAGCAGTGCGAGGAGAAGGAACATGGTTCGGCGGCACAGAAGCACAGCGAGGACCAAGGCAGTTGGCAGGAACGGGGCTCGAGCGCAGGCTGGCCACCGCCCGCCACCGCTGCCCCTCGCGGACCATCGCTGCCCCGTCCCGTGGAGTCCGCGGTGCCAGATGTGTCCACAGGAAAGGACAAGCATATGTGGACACATTTGAATTGTTCAAACCCCCTCAGTAGGGATAAAGGGACAAATAAGCACAATTTGCCTTCCTTGGTGAATCTATTTCTCCACGTGAGTTTTCTGGCAGGTTTTATTTTCTATGGTGGAGGAGGAGGAACAAACTAGAAATTTCCTACAGGATGCTGCTGACTTACCTTGGCAAACAAAGAAAAAGCAAGAAAATGGAACTTCTTCTTGGTAAGGCAAGCAAAAAGACTTTTCTTTGATGGTGTACCTTCCAAGAAGAATCGGAAGAGGAAAGGAAAAGGAAATGTTAAAATGCATCCTAAGTGTGTAGTGCCAAGGGCTCCTTATGCCCGCAGAAGGGCAGCCAGCAAGGGGAGACTGCCTTCTTGAACTTCTGACAAACGTCTGACCTGCGTGTGCCCAAACCACAACTCACCTCCGCTGCACCTCTCCCCTGAACCTCCTGTCCACCCGTGAACCCTTCCACAGGGAAGGACTGTGTCAACAGCTGCGGAAGTAAGCTTGGATGTGCTATGTACTGCAATGCCTAGGCAACTGATAGCTAAGAAATTATTACCAAAATAAGGTTGGGGAGTGATTGTCGTGTCCCAGAGGAAGTGAGTGGCTACTGGAGGAGGAGGAAAACATAGAATTACAGATATTTGTATTATCTAAGTGGCTCTATTTTGACATAATTTATATATTACATAATTTACACATTTAAAGTACACAGTTGAATGATTTTTAGTTCATTCACAGATATGTGCAACCATTAACAGTTATTCTTAGTTTCAGCACCTCAAAAATAAACACTGTAATCATCAACCTCCCTCCTCTATTTCTTCACCCTCAAACCTCCATCCTCAGCCTTAAACAACTAATTCTTACCTCCAGAGAAGACCCTGTTCTGGGCATTTCATACAAAAAAATACTATGATACATAGTTTTTGTGATTGACTTTTTATTCACTTAGCATGACGGCTTCAAGGTTTATCCGTGTCGTATCAATGTCAGTGCTCTATTCTGTTTTATGACTGAATAATATTTCATTCTGTAGCTATCCCATATTTGATAACCCATTTGTCACTTGATGGAGATCTGGAAAAGGATACTCCCAGCCTAAGGCCTGAGGTTCTTCCACCCCTTGTTCCAGAATCATCTTTTTTTTTTTCTTTTTAGTTTCTGTAGGTCTTAGTCAGACCCCAGGACGGTGGTGGTCCCCTAATCTATGTATAATGCTTTGAAGTGTGCAGAGGGGTACCCACTCTCAGCAAGAAGGGGAGGGGATGGGGAGAAGGAAAACTGAAGCAGAAAAATCAGGTAGAAAAGCTCAACTTCAGTAAAAACTTAGCAGAAAGTTAGAAAAGAGATGTATCTGTGCTCAGGAAGTCAGTCTGAGTGATTCCTTTAAGAGAGAAAGGATATCTGGGCCCATGGGACTGGCCCCACACATTGTGCTCTTCTCCATATCCCAAATCCTGGGTGGGTAGAGCAGGAGGGTCCCTAGCAATTGGGGAGGGTAGGCTGGGAGGCCTCTTGAGATGGAAGCTGGGCATGAGAGCGGGCAGCAGCAGGGGACAGCAGAATGTTGTTAATTTATAATAAAGAGGCAGAAATGGCTACTTCTTTCCTCCGAAGGGATCAGAGAGATAAAAGAATCAACAGATAAAAGCCCATGTGCTTTCAGTCATAGGATTTATTTGGGTTTGTGAAATTGAAAGCTGTAAGCCATAACAAAAAGAAGGAAAAAGAGGGTTTTTCGTTCTTGAATCAAGCTGGTTACCAGTGAGTCTCTTGGTAAAATCCTTTCTCCATTATGGCCTTTCATATTGCCGCATAATTGCTGTTATAAAAGAAATATGAAAAAGTAGAAATGCTGCATCCTCATCATTATTGAAAGCCATGCAATTTTACTGTGCAACTACAGGTATAACAACTACCACAAGTTTAACATAATAAGACACTGGTTATACTGTGGTGATCTGTGTTTGTGATCCAGGATATTTGCGAAATAAAGTTTCTTTCTAATGAGTGGTTTTCAATGGACACATTAAAAGGAAATGTTATAAAATGAGATTTGAAAGTTTCAATCACACTTTCTAAACTTTATATGACTACAAGAAAGTCACCAGCAAAGAAAAATATGAAAACAATATAAATAGGGAAAGAAGGAGATGAGCTACAAATAATCGTTTATTCATGATCCGTGGAGGAAGAGCACTTCCAAACTGTGCTTCTCCAGCGCTCGTCCCACTCACACATGCTCAGTGTCAATCATCACCCTCCTCCACTTCACAACCAAACACCACACGGGGCCTGCCTTTAGTCTGTATTATGTCAGGACTAAACGGTTCAAGCACTATTCATTCTGCCAAAATTTCTGAGATTTTTATACTTTTCTCTTTATTTGAACTTCAATAACACCTTCCAGCTTGCACCCCAATCAATTCTACCTCTATCACACCTCTCAAAACTTCTTTTTCTTATTCTATTATCCAATCCTGCCCTTATGGAAGCTTTCCTATGCATTCAATGTTCACTGTTCTCCAGTTCTGACTGAATCTATTCCCCCACTACTTTATGCTAGGGAAATTTATAAAATATAAAACCATATCATACCAAATCCTGCTTGTCTCACCTTAGAAATATTTTAACTATGTCCCAATTCATAGAGGAGAAAATTAAAACCTTTATCATGGCATACTAGACTCCTGACCTTGCTTATCATTAGTTATACAGATTTTCTATGTCAATATTCATAAACTTAAAATTTAATTTAAAAAGTATTGAAAAAAGTGCAAGCTTTGGAATGAGAGAGGCTTATTAATTTTGAATTCAATACTTTTGAAATTACATTTTAGCCTTTCTATCCTATTCTAAGACAGTAAACATATTATTTTAACACTTTTTTCTTTGGCAATCAATATATTCATGTATCAGAATTATCTATGAGATGTCCTTAACCACCCCTGGACTTAAATACTGCAGCAGTATCTCTTATATCTTTACTTCTACCCCTGTTGTAATAGACAGTTTATAAAAAAACAAAAAATCCAGCCTTTTAACGTGTAATTCATATGTTTGGAATCTAAGTCGTCCAATGATTCTTTTCTATCACTCAGTGACAGAAACATGGCCACCAAAACCTGTATGATGTTTGCTTTTCTGACCTAATCATAGCTGCACCGCTTTCCTTCGGACATCTCTGGCTTATGTTTACGTTGGATCGTTTATGTATTCGGAAAGCTACCCCTCCCAGCTGTACATCTGTGTAAGATATATGTGTTGTAGAGATGGAGTTGGAAACCTCTATCTTTATCTCTGGGAAATAGGTTTAAACCTGTTGCCAAAGTACGGGCAATGGATTTATAGTGTCTCCCCAACCTCTGGTGGTTGGTGACAGATAAGGACACAGTAAACCCATTGACTGAACTGTCAAAGTCACATAGGAATGAATGGCCAATAATAGGGTGAATTTTTTATCTACTGCTTTGTTTATTTTTTAAATCTTCTCACTTACTTCCAATGACACACCTAATATACAAAATACCACTGATTTTTGTATATATGAAATACTATTAATTTTTACTTATATAATAAGAACTTTGTATAATCTGTATGAATCCTTATCTTATCCCATCTATGGCAAAGAATTATCTTTTTCATTTGCAAACAAAGTGCATTTAGCATTTTTCTTGGTTCTCAGTCAATGCAAATTCCATTCCTCATCCCTAGTTATGTTTCATGTAATGTGTGTCAAGATTGTTCTTGAGTTTAAACTTGAGTCTAACGCCTTGAATTAAACTTCAGCTACAAAATTTACTAAAATTCTGTACTTAAGAGGAATTATTTAAATTTCTTACATCCATTTCCTCATTTCTAAAATAAGGATAGCAAAACCTAAGGAGTCTTTTTGAGGAAGAAATGTATGTAAATGTGGTGAGACAATCACTTGTAAATTTACCAATTAGAACCTCAAATGAGGAAGCAGAAGGCATGATTGCTCATAAATGCTTAACGAAAATATTCAAAATATCTTTAGAGTAATTTCTTATTACAAAAATACTATGTAATAAATCCTTGGCTAGTATTAACATTAAATATTTTTATGCTAATATACAAACAAAATTAATATCAAATGCTTATCTTAGTCTTATTATAGTACATGAAACTAACAAATAGGAATCAGGACGAGAAAATATAGGGGTAATAGTTTTCTTACAGAGAATAAGTATTGTTAGAAATAAAAAACTACTTTATAACTTGATTCCTTCAATTACCTTAATTCTATGACTGACTGTAGGTACTGCTGTCTTCTGTCGTAGATCTATACAAAAGAGACAATGTTGTTTTAGGGTTACAAAATATTCTAATTTTTAGTAAAATCAAGAAAAATGACAAAAACTAAATTTTTGCTAAATAATCAATTACTAGGTACCAATATCCTCTTTGTATCCCACATCCCATTCAAACATCATTCTATTGTCTGATCTCTTTCAAATATGTAACTTTCAAAGATGTAAACCATTTAAAAATATTTCAGACTTAAAAAGCCATCCATTGTTTTCCTCTATCTTGTCTGCACAGAAATGGGATGAGATAATATACCTACAATAATATTCCTTTGTAGTTAAAAAGATATTTTACACACATCTCCAAATTCTGTTTTCACCATCTCTCCAATTATAATGTTTTTGTCAAATAACTAAGCAAATAGCTAACTACTTAGATAATAGATTTACTTTGTTAATGAGGTTCTTAATGAGGTCTTCCAGCTAACATTTTGTGGTGTTTATCTAGCCTCCTGTGTCTTTGAACACACCTATACATACAGTTCCTGCTGTAGAGGAGGGTCCTGGTGTTCATGTTCCTAGTACATAGCTACAGCAAGTTGGCCACAGATGACATACCAGGTTTGAACACCTAACTCAAGATTGTTATCCAAACAAGAGTGGCTAAATTTAGGTGCCTTTGAACAGCCATTTATTTCTCTCTCTAGAGAATGTAAGCTAAGAAGCAGCAACTGTGGCTAGATTGTTGTTATTTTTGTTTGAAAATGAAAATAGCAAAGGTTGACACAGATGTGCTGGGTCAAAAGCAAGCAGAGCATTGGGAGGGAATGGACACAGAAAAGAAGAGTTGATGCCAATTATAAAGCTTATAAGTGATGGAGAGCATGACTGGCTCCTGACTATCCTAGTCATTACCTCTTTGTGTACTTCAGCTATACTCCATTTCTTCCCCTTGCAGTCCTAAAGCCACGTGTAGTTGCAAAACTGAGGCTATTGTGAGCAGATTTTGTCATGATCCCTTACTATGACATTTCTTCCAAAGGTCAGACTTCTGACACTTATTTACATTTTTACAAGATGCAGGAAGACTTATGCCAGTTGTCATGCAATTATGTAAGTTTATAATATTTGATCATTTAAATTATGATTATGTAAATTATGATTTATGTGGATAAATCATCCAGAACACTATCCTGAATTTGACTAGTAGCTGTTACCCTTTCAATAAATATCAACTAATTTAAGAAATAGAGGTATTGATGGAAAATTTATATCATTATTTTATCTCCATCAAAACAAGTGAGAAATGGTGAAAATGTTTCCTTTACAATGGAAATACAGGAACTCTTTATTTACCTTCAAATCAGCATTTTTATTTCAATAAATATTCACTAAGGAAATTGTGGCTTTCATTGTCATTATGGTCAAGAGAAAAGCTGTACAGCTCCTGAATTACAATTTAGAAACACATTAGGAATATTAGTTACATGCAAAATGTGTAGTAGTCCAACTGTGTCCTCCTCCTTGTTCTGTACTCTTATTTTTTCTTACCCTCTACATATTCTATTCCCAAAATTTGCTTCCGTGACTCTCTCTCCTGACTCCATTGGCATAAATGACTGACAACATAAGTAAATGGGGTTGCTTGGGAATTGATAGAGCATTCTAAAATAATTGTAGGCAACATGTTTTTCTATATGAAAGGTACTGAGGATTCATTGGGTAGCTTCACTTGTTCTTGGCTTATATAGACATGAAGGACACTTAATTGTCAGGAAGCTGAAGTAAACTTTATTATATACTGAGACTGTCTTCACAATAGTTCTATTAATTCACCCAATCAATTCTCCCAAGAATCCCTACTTTACTCTATTCTGAAGTACATTCAAATTCTTTCCACTGTACATTTTTAACATTATATATAAAATATAATATATTTACTTACCCTTCACTTACAGTTTCTGATCTGTTCCGATATTCTTTAAGTTTATTCCATTTAAAAACAAGGAAGGCAGTTAAAATGAGGAAAGGTAGAAATACGAAGAAACTGATGAAAAGTCCATTTTTATAAGGAGTAGCGCGGTTTTGTTTTTTAATCAAAAGTACGCGTTTATCTGAAAATATGAGTGTATCTTTTAACTTTTCAAAAACAATGATCAAATTATACTAGTAATTTCAATTATGGAAATTTTAATTTAAGTAGTGCATTTGAAAATGAATAAGCTTAAGTGTTGACTGATCCTCTGTGCCCATATCCCAAAGTGTGTGTGTCTATACATATATATATATGTATTTCAACTCAAATCAATTACATATGTCATTCTCAACAGTCATTTACAATATGCAGCTGTTGATAATATTTATCTTTGACATAAATCTGTATATATTCTATGAATCTTTACTGATATATTAAATCTGCTGCTCTATCATAATTTATTCTACTAATTATCAGTAAGGATACATTAAACATATTCTTATCCACTAGTAGATTCTTCAGTTTATAAAAGAGCAAAACAATAATTATTTTTTAAATGCTTATGAAATATTGAGATAACTGAAGCCTAGTTATTTCTTTAAAAATTAGTGAAAGTAAACTAGGCTAAATTTGCTTACTATCTACATAAGGTTATATTATTCTAATTATGACTATATTAATTACAAAAGTAGAAATTTCTCTAGGTGGTTTAAATATATAGAGAACTAATAAGAAAATTAGAAAAATAAAGTCAATGAAAACTTGTTCTCACTAAGCAAAAGAAATATCAGACAACTGAAATATAAAAGTAATAAATTCAGTAATAAAAATTACCACTAAAATTACTATGATAGAAACTGTGAATGAATTGCCCCATAAAAAGACACAGATCAGTAACATAAAGACACAGAATCCAATTATATGCCTATTAGAAGTGATTTACCCTAAGCTAGACTGATTCAGTATGTTTTGTTATTATAAGAAGTAGATTGTCATATACCTGAAAAATATTGAAATTGTAGAAATAAGCAGCAATTTTCTGCTGTGGTAAAGTTCCCTGCTTCTAATCCTCTCTTCACTGCCTTGTCTTTCAGAAAAGGCCACATGCCATTAAAATGCCACAAGACCATTTTCAATAAAATACCATATTGAAGGTAGTATTTCTTTTTCTTGTGCTGATTTTTAAAAATCAGAGACTGATTTTTAAAATGGGAAGCCATTATTAAGGGATTAATTGGAAAACAGTCATTACTTTAAGGAAGCTAGAACTTTCATTTTTGCTATTATAGGTTTTTTTACATTAAATGGTCTGTCTTGCTCTCTTTTAATGAAAAGATGGAAGTGATTTCTGAAAATTGACAGGAAATGCACAACTACAATACTGAAGGAAACAGAACACATGATGTCAATCTGCCCATCTCAGCATAGAGAAAAGGAGTTCTCCATTGGCACAGCATTGTCAATGGAGTACAGAGGCCATGAACAGAGGACAGAATCGAAGGCAAATGTCTGTAGGTATGGTAATGAACAGAAAGTTGCTACATAGGTTAGGGACCAAGGACATGTGTGGGGACATCCTGGGAGTCTTTGGTAGAGGGATAAAATGAATGCATGCAATCTGAGGCAACCTGAAATTTAATGGACAGCAACTCTTACTGGGTTGAGAGTGGAGTGGAGACATTAGAGTTTAATCAGTGTTGGGAAAAGTATACTAAACAAATCCCAGTTTCTCCACATCATCAACATAGATTGCCTATATTGTTTTTAGTTATAACCATCCTAGTGGTTGGGCCAGTGGTACCTCCTTGTGGTTTTGATAAGCATTTTCCCAAGATGATGGACACCTTCTCATGAATTTGTGGACCATTTGTATATCTTTTCTGGAGTTGTGTTAATTTAAATCCCTTTCCATTTTACTTGGGTTATTTGTGTTATTACTGATATGAAATAGTTTTTTTTTTCTTTTTTGGTGGTACTGGGGTTTGAACTCAGTGCCTTTCACTTGCTAGGCATATATCCTAACCACCTGAGTCATATACTTGCTCCTGGAATAGTTCTTTGTATATTCTGAATACAAGTCACTTGTCAGATAAAAAATTTGCAAATATTTTCCCCTACTCTCCAACTTGTCTTTCACAATAATTTTTACAATTATATTGTAAAAGTTCTTAATTTTGATAATATTCAGTTAATCTATTGATTTTTATTTTTAGTTGTGCCTAAATATCTCCTACAACTTATTCTATGCTGAGGTCACAAAATTTTACTTGTGTCTGTTTAACTCTGGCATTATGATCTATGATCCTTTTCAGTTAATTTCTGTAACATTCTAGCTTATTCTGTATGCATATATTCACTTGTTCCAAATTTGTTCCAAGACCATTCTTTCCTCACAGAACTGCTTTGGCACACCTGTCAAAATCAGTTGACTTTCTTCAGTGTTTTATGGTTTTGTTGTAAAAATGTTTCACAGTTGATCAAATGTATCTTTTTAAAAACTATTGTAAATGTGTTTTTAACTACCAACAGCTCAGTATTGGTAAACAGAAATGCTATTTTTATTTTGTATTCTACAAGTTTACTGAATTTGTTCATTCACTCAAATGGGTTTTGAGGTGAAGTATTTGCGCATGTGTGTGTGTGTGCACATGTGCGTGCGTGCGTGTGTGTGTGTGTGTGTGTGTGTGTGTAAAATCATGTTGCCTGCAAACAGACAATTTGATTTCTTCCTTTCCAGTTTGGATACCCATTATTTGCTTGGCTTGCCTGATTGCTGTAGCTAGGACTTCGAGTACTATGTTAAAGAGAAGCTGTGTGGGCATCCTTGTCTTATTCCAGATCTTAGAGGAAAAGCTTTTATTCCCCTCCATTCAGTTGATGTTAGCTACAGAACTGTCATATGTGACCATTACTGTGTTGGGGTATGTTCTTTCTATACTTAATTTGTTGAGAATTTTTATCAAGATGTTGAATTTTATTAAATGCTTTTTGTGTGTTTGTTAGTTGATCATATGATTTTTTCCCCTTTATTCTTTATTTTCCCCTTTATTTTTTTTCATGAAACATGAAATACATTTCACATCAATATGAAACATGTATGTTGGACATTCTTACATCACTGAGATGCATTCCTCTTGGCTTTTTCTATGTCTTAGAGGAAACGTTTTCAGTTTTTCCCCATTCACTTGGTCATGTTGAGTGTTCTTGTTAATATGCTCTTGAATTTAGTTTGCTAGTATTTTGTTGATGGTTTTTACACCTATGTTCTTCAGGGATGTTGGCTTGTAGTTTTCTTTTTTATTGTGTCCCTGTCTGGTTTGGAGTAATGCTTGCACCCTAGATTGTGCTCAGAATAATTCCCTCCTGTTCAAATTTAAAAACAATGTTGAAAAGTATTGGTGTTAGCTCTTTAAATGTTTAGTTGAATTGAGCAGTGAAGTAAAGCCATGAACCTGACAAGGAATTAATACTCAAAATATATAAGGAACTGAACTCAATAAAGAAAAGTACAATTAAAAATTGGAAAAGACAGGACTATGCATTTCTTAAGGTATATATGTAAAAATACTCAATGTCACTAATCATCAGGAAAATGCAAATCAAAGCCACAAGAAGAGGTTGGCTCATCCCAATTAGAACGGACAGCAGTAAAAAGACAAAAATAATACATGCTGATATGAGTATGTAGAAATGTGAATCCATGTACACTTTTATTAGTACAGTAATTATAGAAAAAACTCAACTACATGATCCAGCAATTCCACTCCTGGCTATTTATCAAAAGGAAATTAAGTCAATTTTTAAAAAGACATCTGTACTCCAAAGTTTATTTCAATATTTTTCACAATAGCTAAGATAGGGAACCAACCTATGTGCAGTCATGAACGAATGAATAAAGAAAATGTGGTATATAATGAATGGAACACCATTTAGCTGTAAAAATAGCTAAATACTATCATTTGTGACAACATGGAAGACCTAGAGAACATTATGTTTCATGAAAAAGTTAGGCAAAAAAAGACAAATAAGGCGTGATCACATTCATTTGTGGAGTCTTTAAAAGCTGCTCTCATAGAAGTAAAGTAGAATAGTGATTACCAAAGCTTGTATGTGTAGGAAGGAGAGGTGTAGGGAGAAATTGGTCAATGGGTACAAAGTTATGTTAAACTTTATAACATCAGAAAAAGCTCTGATGTTTTATTGTATAAAAGAGTGACCATGGTTTTTAAGATTACATTGTACATCTCAAAAGAACTAGAAGAAATTTCAATGTCCTCACTATTAGAAATATCAAATATTTGAAGTGAGAAATGTGCTAACCATCCTGATTTGGTCATTGCACAATATGTTAAAACACCACACTGTATTCCCATGAGTACGTACAATGATTATTTGTCAACAAGCTGGCAATTTGGCTCAAATGGTAGAATGCTTGCAAGCATGAGGCACTGGGTTCAGTCTCCAGTACTGCAAAAACATAATGCTTTATTATTGGACTGTATTCTTTTCAAATGACTGGTGTCAGTCCTTAGAACAGCACTGCACTGTCCTGATTATATTTCCTTTGTAATGTTTCAAAACTGAGAAATGTTCTTTCAATTTCAAGTTGTCTTGAAGCTTATATTTTTACATTGCCTTTACTATCCTGAATTCTTTGCATTTCCATATGATTTTTAGGATCAGCTTGGAAATCTTGAAAAAACAAAACAAAAATTATAGTCTGGCAGAGTGGTTCAAGAAGTAAGAGTGCTTGCTTAGCAATTGTGAGGCCCTGAGTTCGAACTCCTGTGCCCCAACAACAAAAAATGATAATAATAAAAAAAGTAGAAAATGTCTGCTGGGGGTTTATTAACAATTGTGTGGAATTAATTTGGGAAATGCTTCTATAATAACAGTGTTGAGTCTAACCATCACTATCACCCAACTCAAGATCTTTCTCATCTTGCCAAACTAAACATTTTTATCCATTAAATATTAACTCATACTTGTACCTTTCCCTAGCCCTAGGAAATAGGCATTCTATTCAGATATATGCATTACTCTATCACTCTAGTGACCTCATATAGCTAGAACCATACACAGTACATCCTTAGTATCACAGGTTTATGGTTCCAAGATTGCTGTTGAGGAAAAACTGAA